ACCGGAGGAGAATATTTGATTAAAAATGTGGGTTAGGGGCCCCCATGTAAGGCAAGGTAGCTGAAGAAAAACCAGATGGGGAGTTCAGATGTCAGCATCTCTTGACCCCCAATGGTGCACAGTCCTGGCTCCTTAATCTAGGACTACCTCAAAATCCCTCTGCGTGGAGTGAGCAGAGCTCAGGCGAAGTGAGCCGAGCCCACGGAGCCTGGGTAGAGAGAGGGACAGGAGAAAGGTTCTTATTCTTTTACCCAAGAGAAATTGATCTTCCAAAGTTTCAATTCATTTCAGTCTAAGCATTTATTTAAAAAAAAATAGGGCCGGCCCCGTGACTTAGCGGTTAAGTGTGCCCACTCCGCTACTGGCGGCTTGTTATGAGAGGTTCAGGGATTCGATCGGAGACGTAAAAGACACTCTCCACTCCAAACAAATGAACTGAAGGTATATTTTATTATATAGAGGACAGTAAAGGTGATAGTCTGCAAACAGATCTGAATAGGTCAAATATTAAGAGGGAAAAAACATCAGCTCGACTGGAAAGGGAAAACATCCACATCGACTGAAGAGAAATGACACAAATCAACCGGAAAAACACCAGGTTGACGGAAAAGAGAACACATCAAATCAATTACTTCACATCAAATCAATTACTCACAATATCCACACCCCACTGCCAGGAGAGTCCTGTCAATCGACGCGGCTGGGCAAGAATCACACGTCCTGGGCAAGGCGTCCCTTCCACAGGTGGAACTCTCACCAGGTCTCAGTTTCCGGCAGTTTTTATACCATCAATAATTTTCAGAGTAAGCAATTACAGATTTTGCAGAGCAAGCATTTAGTGTTTCCATGCACAAATAGTTATCAGTGGCGTACGTGCACTGAGCCCCCTGGCTAACGTCCCATTCCAGTAATTCTGTACGTGCATTGATCTCTCTGGTTATCCTCCTAGCCCGGCACAGATGGCCAGTCCATCCCCTGCTACGACGCTCCAAGAGCCTTGAAATGTTACAACTTGCAACTCTCTCCGTGGGAGAAAGGCCAGTTCCTGGGAAAAGGCCAGTTCCTACCACACAGAAAGCAGCTTTATATTTCTTTGTGCGCTGGTGGCCATAGGTCAATGGAGTGGCCCAACATGGCTGTACTCATGTTAAGACACGGCCTGGGTTCGGATCCCAGGCCACCGATGCACCGCTTCTCCAGCCATGCTGAGGCCGCGTCCCACATACAGCAACTAGAAGGATGTGCAATTATGACGTACAACTATCTACTGGGGCTTTGGGGAAAAAAAAAAAAAGGAGGAGGATTGGCAATAGATGTTAGCTCAGAGCCGGTCGGTATTCCTCAGCAAAAAGAGGAGGGTTAGCATGGATGTTAGCTCAGGGCTGATTTTCCTCACACACAAAAAAATAAAAATAAAAAAAATAAATCTCAGTAAAATATTAAGAAAAAAGAACACCTTAAAAGTTTGAGAAAATGGTATTATTTCTGGAGAAAACAGAAGAGTGCCCTTTATTGGAAATAACCTTTGAGAAATTTCTGGAGCATGTACAGTTGTGATCTGGTTGATCCAAAGTCCAGCCAGCACCACGTTGAGAATTTCCACAAGGAACAGAAAAGGAGCTATTAACTCACATATTTCAAATAAAAAATTATTAAGGGTGTACATGATGCTATTGCAAATGTGAAAAACTAGTTTTGCTATTTGCTTTTATTGTTCACTAATGGAATACAGATCCTTATCACATGTCTCTGGAAATATTTCAAAATCAATATTTCATTACTTAAAAGTAAAGCCAAATATCTCCAAAAGAGTCTCCTTATTTACAAGCCTCATTATCTGCATGTGAGAAAAAGCATTCAGAAACAAAACAAAAAGTTAGATTAAATTTCTAATTTATTTTTCAAGTTAAAAATACTCTTCCAAATAACTGAGAAAAAAGATTTTAAAAATTGAAATAGTAATTATATTTAGTAATTAATGATTTCAGCAAAATACAGGATGCCA